CCCACCTGGGAGGGCCGCTGCCTTCTGGCGGTAGCGCCCGTAGCACCGGTCCAGCGCGCTCAGGTAGCACTGGATGCTGAGCCGGCCGTCCACCACCGGGTACTCGGAGTTCAGGTCCGGCTTGTAGAAGTCGTACGCGTGCTGCATGTGGCTGGAGCGCAGACCTGCGGGCGGCAGCCGGAGCGGGCCGCTCAGCCGGCACTCCGCGACGAGGCCAACTCTGCACCGCACAGAGCGGGCGCTCCGTGACAAGATCACCTCTGCACCGCACAGAGCGGGCGCTCCGTGACAAGATCACCTCTCCACCGCACCGAGCGGGCGCTCCGTGGCGAGACCAACTCTGCGCCGCACAGAGCGGGCGCTCCGTGACGAGATCACCTCTGCACCGCACAGAGCGGGCGCTCCGTGACGAGATCACCTCCGCACCGCACAGAGCGGGCGCTCCGTGACGAGACCAACTGCACCGCACAGGGTCGGCTGACGCCGCCGCACATAGTCAGCTGACTGCACAGCATGGCTCCTTGACGCATCCGCACATGCTGCTGACGCTAACGTACTGCCGCCTAGTCAAACTCCCTCGACTCCGACAATATCCCTCATCACCCAAACAGGCCTGCATCGGAGCGAGTTCAGTGCAATGCCGAGTCTGCAGACACGATTCAACTGAAACGACCGGATACGGACACACCTCAGTCAGGTGCAAGCCGCCGGCCGCAGCCAAACAAGCCCTGGCCCAGCGCAAACGACAGCCGGCCCAGGGGCAATCTCAACCGCGCCCGCACCGTTTGTCAGACGTACACATCGTGTCGGGGCCGACGGCCGGCCGCCGACTCACCCCGCTCGACCACCAGCGGCGCGTGCGGTCCGACCAGCATGGCGACGGCGCCGGCGCCGCCGGTGGGCCGAGCGCTGCCCGTGGCGTAGACGGCGATGTCGCCGCACACCACCAGCGCCAGCCGGCCGTCCCAGGCCGACGACTCCACCCAGTTGAGCGCGTTGAAGAGCGCCGCCGTGCCGCCGTAGCAGGCGTTGGTCGTGTCGACGCCCTCGATGTCGGCGGCGGCGCTGGCCGGGAACAGCTGCATCAGCACCGACTTCACCGACTTGGACTTGTCCACGAGCGTCTCCGTGCCCACCTCCAGCCGGCCGATCGCCTCGTACGCTGCCGGGGGACGAAGCCCTCAGGACGGCACAGTGCGCTGGCAGGATGGGGCGCGCGCGTTGGGCACAGGCGCGAAACATATGCCCAGGCCACGAAACTCGACCATCGTGAGGTAATCAAGCTAAAGTGGTCTGCTGATGCCATGCAAAACGCCGGTTAGGCGAAAAGCAGTCCGAAGAAACAACGTCTGTCTTCCTAGATGCAGCCATGACTTAACAGACATCAAATTATCCGCGTAAGCCAAAGGAAATTGGAAATCCTTTGACGTCACTAGGCGGCGTCGGGCGACTCACCAGTGCCAGTTTTCTCCATGAGTTTGTGGACCACTGTCATGCACAGCGAGTTGATGTCCTCCAGATCGGAGCAGAAGCCCATGCGCTTCTGGCCCAGACCGATGGTGTATTTACCGGCGGACGCGCCATCAAATGACTCCAGCTCTGCAACCCGGCTGCAGTTAAAGACTGGTTAAGCTCCCAGCAGATGATGACAGAACAATATGCATGTTAGCAAATACGAATGACATACATGGACTGAAGCAGCTGCCAGCGGGCAAGAGATCCGGCGGCTAAATCTGAGGTTAGCAATGAAACAGTACACCTTGTCTTTAGATACATCAATACAACAGCCAATTCGACGGCATACTTATCGACACATCCACCGCCGTACCTATCCACACGCCCCTAGTCATGTAATCCTTTCAATGCCTCGAAATACGTATCATGTATTACCTTCCTGGTCGACATACTGGGACGGGAAATATATTTCAATGGCAGTGATGCCGACATCCGCTGGCCACTGTCCTTGTCCTGACGTCATTGCGACAGTCTGGAACAAACAAGACGGCTGATTTGTTGCGGTCTACACATGACACTTCGCGGCTTCACTGGAAGGACGAGACGCTAAGTCATGACAGACAGGTCAACTATGAACCCAGTGCTCAGGCAGCGCCTGCCGCCGTCTCGTTGGTCGCGAGCCTCTTCGACCACGGCCGCATCTCCGACTGGCGTCGCCGCTGACCTTGAAGACGCGTCACGATCGATGGTGCGTTGGAGACGCAGCGTCGTCGGGACCTGGCACCGCTGACGCCGCGGGGGAGAGGCCCGCCCGGCACGCCCCGCCACCGCTGACATGTTGGGGAGGGGCCTGCTTGCGTCCCCCCCCCCCCCCCAGCTATCGATCACACCAGCCAACTCGCTGCATACGTGTACCCTGCCCCTCCCTCCCGGCGGTGCAAGGGGCAGCCTAACTGTATTCGGGGTCCCATCGCGGCTGGACCACCCCACACACAACGGCGAACTGCCGCACACGACGTCGACAGAGAGACTCTGTCTATGCGCCCCCAGCAGCACCTCTTATACTACTTTGGAGCCCACCCACAGCACGATCGGCTTGCGACTCGCCGGCGCCACCGCGTCCACGGGTTAACGCATCACCCCTGAGCCATGACTGTTTCCCTATGTTAACACTGTCCCAGGGTGTGATCCATTGCCACATTCGGTCCACCGATACACTAACTCATCCAAGATCCTGCCGACATCTAGCAATGCACTTACACATCATGGAATGACCCCAGACAAACATGTCAATATCAAGACATGACCACAGGCAGCTTGATGTAAAATCAACTTTGGCACAGTAATCATGCCAGATATTGAAGAAATGTCCTGATTTCAGTGCATCTACAGGCATTCCCACAACACAAAACATGCAGCTGCTCACAAACTTTAAATGCTCCAACTCATTTTCACTTAACCTATTGATAGGATAAGTTTTTAGTGAAAAAACTGTGATGAAACTGCCAGTGGAGAATGTAATGCATTTATCAGTATCCACTCAGCTCAGAATATGTATGAACAAATTCTGATGAATGAAGGGCAAAGAACCAGATTTTCAAAGCAATAATGACCTTTCGGCATTGCATAATACAAGCAAATAATTTTCTACTTGCATTGTCATGTTCCTGAGCAAGAGACTCAATCAGGCTCCTCATTACCAAATTGCTTTCAGGTGGTTTTATGGTATGGAAAAGTTTGGACTTGCAGTACATATCTCAATTCTATATCTCCATTTTCCCAGTTTTTGTCTGAGGAATACAGCTAATGCTACTGTCTTATTTAGCAGTATTTCTGAACATTTCTTCTGCCACATTAGAAAAGTTTAGAGCTATCAGTTTGAGAGTATATCATATGACAAATATGATGGTTTTGACAGTTTTGAGTTCAATGTCTTAAATAATTTGGCATGCACACAGCTTTCAAAACATTTTTAACAATGGTTTTCCTTAACTCTTAGCTTTTTCTTAGTATCACATGAAGTTATGGGCTTCGCACAATGATAGGTAGCAGAGGAAGGGCATATTTGATGCATAATGTAGTGGCTGGAAGAAAAGTTAAATGCAGCAATGTTTTAAGCAATTAAGCTTCATATGGATTTCAGGCATTTCACACAAGATTGAGTCTTTTTTTAATGCTCTGGTATACAGTATGTTCTGAAAAAAACTTTATGGAAAAAGTGCAGCACATCATATAAAAGGCATCATACTTTTCTGAGAAGCATCTGCCACTAAGGCATTGCAAACATTTGTATGCATATAAATTATGAGAAAAACAAGACAAAGACCCAGGAAGCAGAATGAGTGCTTTGGTAATAACACAACTTTTTCATAAAAGTGTCAAGACAGGGGCTAAGTCAACCACATGCAGTTTATAAGAACATGCATCCAGCTAGATTATCGCAAGACCAATCTCAATCTATTTCTTGCTGCAGGGCACCAAATGGTTGCTCGCCCGTTCTCGGTCCCAAACCATTGTCTGGCTTCTTATTGTATCTACACACCCAGTTAGGACGCCTTGGTCGTTCAGCCGGTATGAAGCCTTTCTCCAGCAGACGCTTATAGACTTGGTCCAATTCTGCTGATACGAAGCGGTGCCTTGCTGTAAGCCTGCCAGTACCTAACGTAGCCTGAGTCCAACCCCACAACCTCGTCCCTCAGCGTCCCACGACCTCCTCAGTGCTTCACCTAACCATTACCGGCACGAATACCTCACACGCGCGCCGGCTTCCGCTAATATACGGGGCCTCCAACCTGAAACACACGGTCATGGTCAAGGCTTTCACTGTGTTACGCAATTGTTTGGCAGCACCGCAAAGTACTCCTACTAAACGACCGCCTTCTACGGTACTTGTTCTGCCCGACAAACAAGCAGGACACTTTCCCTCTTGGATCACGCAGTAGATCAGCGCAGGAGATATCGTTCAAGTACTGTAGGATTGAAATCCGATGAAAGAGTTCTTTATCATTAAACCGAGGCATGACGGCGCTCTTTAGGCATAAGTCAGGCAAATGATGAGTGCAAGTGATACATAATGTGCTCAAACGATTTTGGACCGATATTATGACCGCATACAATCAACGAAAGGAAAATAAATATCAACTAACGTAGCCCTTGAAACAATTTTAGAATAAATCATGTAGAATGTGTTGTGCGAAAAATGAAGCAAAAATGTCATGCAGCTTCAAAGTCGCCTGAAATTTTATCAGAGAAATCAGTTCTGTTGGCTTCTGTTAATCTGATCACGCTCTTGTTTTCAGGTTTTCGACAAATCTCTGAAGGGTACACAACCACCAAAAGGAAACTACGTCATTCTGCCTACGGGTGGGAGCTACCAAATTTCAAGCGACTGAAACTCTGGTATAGAATTGCAAAATCGCCCCACTGCAGCGCTGCATAAAAGTAATCGGCCTGAAATATCATATGTGGTCTATTTTAGCAATAATCTAAATAAATATTTACGCGAACCTGATGATTTTACCGATAATTTATTCCGTATCTTTGGGATTTTTTCTCTCCGCTTTCCAATCATCGAAATCCCGCGCGCTAAATTTGTAATATATGTGGATTTCTGCGTGGGCTACGCATCGCGATAAAGCATAAACTACGGTGTTGTCACGCACTGCGGCTCGCTGCGCAGGTAATGCGCGTAACTAATGGGGGCGGAATGCCTTTCAAGAGCCTCGACTCTTGCGTTATAGAAGAAAGCAGCGTAGAACCGTTTTAAAGTTGCCAGATGAGTCATGTACTCCTTTAATACTCTAGTTACTAGGTTTTATGTGCATGTCAATAGCATTGGTTTTTTGTGCTCCGTTGAGTGCTCATCAAATATTCCCAGATGCCCATTCCTAATGTTTACGTGAAGTTAGCGCGTGTAACCTAGAGGACATGTGCATCAATTTTGGGCCAATCCAAATCGTGTAAAATGCTCAACTTTTATCTACTTGAAAAGTGTTCTGTGATAGTTTTGCTTGAAATTGCAATTGTAGCATCCAAAGTGTTCATACATGGGCTCTGTGCACTTAAGTAAGCTGTCAGCTCACTAAACTTGGACTTGCTGAGTGACATGCATGTGCTGGAATTGTTGCTTTTGTTCCTAAACCCAATTTGTTCTATTTTTAATTTCTTCCATTTTGCCTGAGTTTACTCAAACTCAAATTTTGACCTCTGCCATAGGAATAAGGGGCCAGCAGGCAATGGGATATGTTCACACACAACATGTGCCTAAACAACAGAAGCGAGTTACACACATTGACATTTTTAGACATTGTACAAGCACAATGGAAGTAGAATGAGGTAAAGGGTGGATAGCATTGAAGTTGAAAAGCATTTTAAGTTCCACTCATTTTCAAGAGGTAGTTTTGCTACAGTCCTCAAAACATATGCACCACTGGACAACAAATTACTAAATTTTCTGCACCAACCTTAAGCAGGTGCATGTCAGACTCAGTTCATGCCAAATAGCTCTAGAATTCTGCTTTACAAACTGCTCTTGAGGCATCTTCACTTAAAGTTACAATGAATGCATACTTTTTCCTGGAGGCACTGCTTCTATGCTCTGAAATTTTTGGTGGTGAGTGCCAAACCTAGCAGATTGTGATATGCTGCATATATGCCGTGAAACTTTTGTTTCGATGAGGTCACCATCAGCGTTCTGGTGTAACATGGATTTTTAGCTGTCTGGCTGTGGGAAAATATGTCCTTGCACTGGCATGTAGTGATGATGTACATAGTGACAGTGTATTGAAGCCTGTTTCAAAATTTCTGTTAGGATGCAACTTTGTGATCTTGTAAGACATGTGGCACAAAACCCCTGCATTTGCCGATGACTGACAGCTTTAGCTATCTACTTCTTGACTTATATCTGAATTGGCCTTCAACATGACACTGGAATCACACCATTCATGACCCTTTATTTGTGCAATGCAAGGCTGTTACATTCCAACACTTCAAACTAGAATCACTGCATTCTTGATCTGGGAGAGATGTCAAATTAGTTGTCAAGCACCACTGTTACAGGTTCTCAGGACGAGTGTCATATTAATCTTGAGTCATATTTAGGGGTCTATTGGGTGCTAGCCAACAAGGATCAACCAAAATTTGGTTTTGCAGCATTTTGTAGCATGTTAAACCCCCTTCTGCAGTCCTGTTTGATAAAAGGTTGGAGACAAAAGTATGTGTTGAGTTGGGAAGAGAAACCATCCTTGTGTGCCTTTCATGAGTATGTCAAGCTTTACATCTTGAACCTGGCATTAAACTAGTAAGGAGTGCATAATCCAGTGACCCAGACACTTGTCAGACTGGGAAAAAGCACCCATCTTGTGCTGTGATTTAGTCTCAAGTACTGCATGGACAGGAATACTTCTGTGAGCCCCCACCCCCACCCCCACCCACCATTCACACCCACACCCACACCCACATCCACACCCACACCACCACCACCACCACCACCATCCTCACCACCACCCAACTGACTCACACCACTTGACTCTTAGCGCGGTCGCTGCCATCGGCTGCAAGCCATTCCTATCAAGGGCAACTTGTGCTCACACGTCCTGCCTTTTCACCGCGCCCTATGGCACCGCATCTAAGCGACTACAATGGCGTCGGAACCAGAGTCCACTCACAATTATGCTATGCCACCCGGAGTATAGTCAAACCAACCCCACTGGCTGTGATTGAAAGTTTTAATCGATTCCGTCGGAGCGAAATCAAGCGCAGGCATGTCTATGACACGCCTTTGTCTGCAGGATGGCATCGATGGAAGACGATGAAATAATTGACGGCAGTGGCGATGAGCAAGAAGATATAACACCAGCGGATATCCTTCAGAGGTTGAGACAGGTTCGTCTCAAAAGGCATCCATGTTCACACGCAGTGGCACCATCGCCTAGTTTTACTTTGAAAACAAGTCGTCATATGGGCTTCTAGTGACTTTCCCTCCCCCCCCCCCCTTATTTTCCCCCAGTGATATTGCCGACCTGGTGAAGCCGGCTGGCGCACAGTGACGTCGAGATGCTTGTTGCCTGGTCTGGTCTTAATGTGCCAATGTCGGCAGAATGGCGTCGTATAACCTGGTTATTGACCGCAATGGTATAGCTTGTGCTCGGCTTCAGGGGTCCCTGCGACAAGGGGCGTAAGGTTTGTGGGCGCTAAGTGACGAATGATTGGGCTACAGTGCTGTAAATCCAGTCTTAATCTGCTGTCAGGGTGATCTCGCAGTTTCCACTGTTTCTCTGGGACGTTCACAGGCTCGGCAGATGTGCCGCATTGTGGGTTCGATGTACGTGACATCTTCCATCATAATAGTAGGTCTTCACCTGCACTGTTTCAGTCGTGGATAGACGAGCGGATGTGTCCCGAGCTGTTGGAATACGACGGCGATGTCGTGGACTGCATGCTGGACCAGATCCATCAGATGGAGGCCAACCTGAAGCGGGTCAGCAAGACGGATTTCAAAATATCCATCCACAAAATGGAGGTGAGCGAGAGGTGGCACGGAAACATGACCTCGTCAGTCATTGCCACTACCCAGCCGTGATATGACGGTGACAAAGGGCGATTTATGCACATCACGCACCAGTGCTCGGCGGATTTGAGGACGATGACGACTGTCAGCCGGGTCAGCCGCCTTGGTGCGGGGACGCGGGCGGCGCACTGATGTGCCCGCCGCCGGCCAGGTGGACCGGATCCGGTACCTGATCGCCAGCTACCTGCGCTGCCGACTGCAGAAGATCGAGCTCTACCACCGCCACCTGCTGGCCAGTGAAGAGCTGCGCCGCCGCCTGTCACCCGAGGAGCTCAAGTTCGCCACAGAGTCAGTCGCGCCGTCATCATGACTCACGCCCGTGTCGCACCGGCAGGGTTAGCCTGGATAACGTGTTTTCTGATGCATACGTAGAGCATGTAAGACTCAGTTTGCTAAGTCATCAATTCAGCTGTTATCGATGGGTTTACCTTCGCTATCCGCTGACCCGGCAACCGCAACGCCAAACGACGTAGTGAGCACGGCCCGATGGGGCAGCTCGGCCGGAAGTGCTCATCCCCACGCCCTGAGAGCACCAGCAGCGGCTCGCCGGCTCCCTCACGCCGTCGCCTGGTGGGCGCAGGTTCCAGGCGGGCCAGGAGAGCCACTTCCAGGAGGTGGCGCTGCGGCACATGCCGTCGAGCGGCGCGTCAGCCTCGCAGCCCGAGTCGGGCTCGGAGCCGGCGCCCAGCGCCGAGGGCAGCCGACTGGGCGCGGCCGAGGCCACGGTGGCGCCCAGCCTCGACGCGCACGTCTACCTGCGGGCCGACGTCGACTGCGTCGGCGTGCTCATCGCCGACGAGGCCGGCGACTCCAGGTCTGTGGATCGGAGAGATGGGGGTGAGAGGGGCAGCGTGCGGCTCCGGGATATTGCAGGGGAGCTGGACAGCAGCGGAAGGCTGGTACGGCAGGTGACAAGCTATTGTAGTTGTGTAACACCGGGAGATGCAATAAACGCGCAATACCATGCTAGTCAAGGCTTTTGTGAATGGTAGAGGCCGATTTATTGCATCACCACCGGCCAAGCCGGTGTGACCAGACGCGATGCACGGGCCAGACCAGAACAGACGGGACCAGTGTGATGTCTGCGGACGCCCCGCGCCTCGCTTACCGAAGGGCCTGCGGTCCTCCATGGCGTCACTACATCTGTTGATGTTCCAGGACGGAGGAGCTGGACCTGGTGAAGGGCTCGCAGTACCTGTTGCGATACGAACCCATCTCCAAGCTGCTGCACAAAGGCGACGTGCACCTCATTTGACCCGGGCGGGACGCCGCTCAGGCGCCGCGTGTGGCGGCGGTCGACTAGCCCTGCGACGATGCGCCGGGTGCCGGTGGCGCCGATCCGCCGGACTGTGCCGGCTGAACTCGTGTGCCGTGGTCCGTGATGCCTACCGACGGCATTGGGACTGGATAGAACAGTGTGCGTTGCCTTGTCAATACTGTGTCTCGTATCAACGACGCAATTACAGGTGGGGTTCGAGAGTTGTGCCCGGAGCGTGAAGGATCTCCGTCGACACGAGGATGAGCGGGGTTGACTTGCCACCTGCGACATAGGGAACTACACCCGACTTCAGCGCCAGAGGCACCGCCGATAAGACCTTGGCCTGACACGGCGGCTGTCTGTTCCACGTCCGCCTGTCAGCCCCGAGCACGGACCCAGCCACCGCTGGGATCGCTAGGGTCGCGTCAACATGGAGTGTGTAGTTACCCGCCTGACTCCGCGGAGTGTGGGAAAAATTCAGGACCTCTTGGTATCTGACGGACTGCGCGTCGGAACGCCAGTTGGGCAGCTTTCATCAGGGGCGACAAATGAGATGCCGGCCGGGAGGCTGTAGTTCCTCACTCGATCGCCAAGCTACGGGCGGGGACCGTGCCTGGCGGTGTGTGCTGAATGGGTCGGCAGGCTGTCTGTACGCGAAATTTATCGCCTCACGATGTTCGACAGCGTACCTGGGGATATGTCTTGACAGACAAAACGGATCGTATTGCTCGGTAGCATGGTTCTGTGTGCAGGAAGCGGCGCTTGAAATGGTCGCACTGGCGTATGGTTGTTACTGCATACTATAGGAGCAACCGAAGCCACAGTGATTTCATAGATAGTTAAGATCAGGACGATTTAAGATGGAAAGTATGGCCCCAAAAGGCCAAAAATTCCATTGGAGTCATGTTTGGGGAGCGTCGTCCCATCAGTATTCTTGAGAATTGTTGCAGTTCGTCCCTTTTCTCAACGCGGAACACCACTCAACTTCGTTAAATCTAACATTGAATAGCTCTGGCAGAACGCTAAGGCTATAGCAGGGCTGGTCGCTGCGCTGCGAGATGAAACGATAAGAATCACCACATGCAATCGCGAGTGAATGTTGGGAAGAATTTGGGACGCGCAAAATGTAACCACCAACCGTCAGATTAGTAGATCCAAGCAGTCGCCATATCAGGGAACAATGGACTGAGTCGGACTGTGGGCCCGAGGAGCGGCGGAAAGCGCACAGGACAAGATCGAAACGTCTTCGAAGCCACAGACATCGGAAATACCGCGCAATCTGCAACAGACGTCGCTGGATACTATATGGCGTTGATGTTGACATTCTTTGGTGGGATCCAGACCCTCGAACACGTTTTTGGGGCGCGGAGGCATAATTTTTAAGAGGGGGTGGGGTGGGGGTAAATTTGAGATCATCGGGTGTACCTAGGCGCGCATTCAAGGAAACGGAACGTTGGTGCTCGGAGGTGGTGAAAAAAACAGAGGTCCGCGCCAGTTGATCTGGGATCAGGGGGCTCTCAAGGTTGTCAATGTGTGTATGACGTGGCCGTCATGACGGCAGTACCGCCAGTACCAGATGTGTCTGGATGTCAATAGCTCATCACCCTACATAGGATCCAGACAGGCAGCCCACGACAGCCAGGGCCGCCCTCTCGATCCTGCCCAGCAGCACCGACCCAGTACCAGACACTCGCGCGGGTGTAACGACTGGGAGGGAAGGTTACATGGCACGGATTTTCACAATAAGAGATTTCATTCACCCCCTCAAATGAATATACAGAACGCACGCTTTTAACGGCTTCCCATGCGAAATGTCACTGTTAGGTCAGTTTGCTCCCCACATTCCAGTATGACCCTTTCAATTCTGATCACCCGTCTCTCAGACGTAGTGACACCCATGATTTCCGGCACCGCAGAACCCATTTCTCACGCCGTTCAGTATTAATATTGTTCCTGAATGATCAGAAATGGAATACTCCCGACGAACCGCAGTTTTTCTTAGCGACAGCTGCCCCTTTGTTGTGTGGGTCGGGTCAAGTTGTAGAAGAATTTCATGTTATAGTGACGTCAAATACTAATATTTTAAATTAATAAATAATAAATAATTTTATAACAAAAAAATTTAAAAACTATGGAAAACAAAAACCTATATGCAATGATCACAAAAAGTTTAATAGGTATTTGTAAGTATTTACATTGTATGATATCATGTTTTGATCTTCAACAAATGCTTTGTCATAAGGAACGTTCATGGAGGTCACCAATTGACAGCTCTGACGCGTAGTGGAACGAGTTTGCCTCGTTTGTTTGTTTTGATAGAATAATATCGGGGCCAGCACGTGGAGAAGGGGTGGGTTGTTATTGGTCAGGGTAACGGCCTTTGTCGTTTGCGGGGTTAAGACATTGGCTTGTGCTGTGAATCTGGGGACTGGCAAGGGTGAGTTGTTTGCTGTGGAGGTATAATGTCTTGGCGAATTGAGAAGCGTATGAACGGAACGCCTGCACTCTTGGAAGTATTTTTGACTGCTTTTCAAGATGTGCCCGATGATACTGGTACCTGCTCGGACGTGCCAGATCTATGAGCCTGACTTGAAGGTTTTAGTGAGTTGTTACGCCATATTTCATCCAAGTTAAGAGTTACATCTGGTCTTTGTCCTATCTCCATATCTATCACTACCCATTCTTGGTAAGCTTTGTGCATCATGTCATTGGAGCTGTATTGTAGCTGTAGCCACACCATGGCAGTGTAGCTGTAGTGTAGCTCATGAGGGATGAGGAAGGGGCCATCCATAGGTAGTGTAATTAATTTTCAGGCATTTTCAACCCCCCTCCCCCCTCTATACGTGGTCATGCACTGATTGCACTAGGTGAAAAGTGAGAACCCTCCTCCCCTGGCTGTGGTGATAGTTTTAGAGATTCAGGATGACTTGCTTCATACTGGAAGGTAATGTTATGCTGTCCATGCCCCATCTCCACCTTATGCTTTGGTATTGATCAGTTCATGAAATCACCTCTGCCCTCCATGCACAACATAATTTATGGATCAGTCTGGATAACTAAATTTCTAAAGTGCTGCTTCTGATGTTTTTATCTTCAAATTGCAGATAATGTATCATCACTGACAGGGCAGACAAGTTCTTTTAGAACCAGCAGCAGAGCACAGACATGGTTCACCATTCCTACCATGCCACAATTAACACAAAGGTGTCAGGCATGGCTGGCCAGAGAGACTTGGCCCCAGCTTACAACATGCACCTTAGCCTCCCAACTAGATGGAGAATCCCACCCAGCCCATGATATCTTGCCTTGCTGATGATGAATCCAAGCAACCCAAAAATCAAGGAAATGATACAATAATGTGTTAAATTATCCAAGTGCACAGGTTTCATGGTTTTGCATAACTGCACTACTGGATAACAAAAAAATAAGAAAGACATGTTTCTTGTGGCAAAAAGGTGCAAAGGATCCTTGCCATCTTGGGTAAAACTGTGATGGCTATTGCCACCAGAACAGGGGTTGGTTGGTATGATGTGCCCTTTTGCCAAGTTCAGACTGTGTGTGTCAGAGTCAGAATTTCAGTAATGGGGAATTCTCTGTGGCTCTTTCTTGAAGCATGTTGAGTTATCTAGTGTGATGACCTATTGCATTAGGTCAAATAGAGTTACAATATTATTTGTTGTTTATCATTTGTAAGGGAATGGTTGCTCCACCCATTTTTATGCCACTTTTGAGATTTGGCCTTGCATAACTTGGGCTTTGGTTTATTATTTTACCAATGTAATGGCTCAGAACATATTTAAATAAGTCTAGTGTGCATACTGCAAGCAATGTATGTGTGTTCAGCAAGGCGCCAGCCGCGGTCTTGAACCGTTGTTTGGAAGCTGTGGTCGTTTACACGAGACAAGCCAGCCAGCCTGCTGTCCCCCTCCCCTGATGTTACCATCCGGTTATGGGATGCCCCCGTTGGGGCAGTGGGAGAAGAAGTCAAAGGACATGTATGGGTGGGGGGGGGCTCAAATTGACCCCCTGAGGGCTTTTCCGGGAAGTTTTCCGAACGGCGCGGCGTGGTCGCGGCAAATTTTGCATAGCTGCAGGCAATTTAATAGCGAATCGTTTGGTATCAAACACTTAAATGTACCTTATAAGGTCGCTGACCTATAGCAGGTCAAAGTCAGGCCATAGTTTCAGTGAAGTCAATTTCTAGGGAATCATTTAATCTGATGCAACAATGGAGTTTTGACGAGGCCATACATATCCGGGATGCTTTCAGAGGCAACTCAAATATTGATTGAGCAAACCACATTGACCTAAGGTCGGGTATGAAGGTCAGACCAAGGTCAAAACCAATCTGTTTATTACTCCAGGGCTTGCAGTATGGGACAGTTTCTGGTGCTTATTTCTAATTCATTGATAGCAGCAACCACATTATACATCTTCCATGGTTCTCATAGAGGTCATTATAGGTCATTGACCTGAATGACTCGGTTTAACCTTTTGTTTTTGAAAATATACTACCTAGCATAATCTTTGTTGCTTATTCAAATGCAAAACTCAGCAGTCTGGTATGATTTTGGTTGCCATGACCTTCAAAAGGTCAAACAAGATCACTGACCTTAAATGAGCCTGTGACCTTTTGATTGGAAACAGTTATGTAGGTTTGGGGGGCATTTTGGAGACCAACTTAGAATTTGACCTTGTTTGACCTTTTTGACCCGAACATCGTGACCTAGGAGCCTTAAACTCTGACCAGGGTGAGTTCACATACAGGTCAACACACCCTAAAAATTTGGTGTTTCTAGCTCTATTAGTTCCCGAGATTTTCAGGGGGCCAAATTCACCCACCCACCCAAGCGAAGGGTATCCAGCCGGCCACCCGGACGCGTGTTAAGCGGAGCGAAAAGGAAAGGGACAAGTGGGATGAATTCAAGTAAAAAGGACAAAAGTCAAATGTAAGAGTCTAATGAGCAGTCGCCAAAATGTATCACGGTCAAGGGGCTCCTGTAGAGCTTAGAGCGAAGAAGTTGAAATTACCCTCCGCCGACCACGAATATGTATGTGTCCAATGTTGCTTCCTTAACGTTGTGTAACCAGTGTGCTCTGATATGTTGAGGGTTGATAACTTAACATAAGTACTCTGAACTCGTAATGCCGAAAACCGGGAAATGAAGCGGTCCTTGGTTATATCCAAAACCATCATCATTGCTTTGGTTTTGCAAGGTAGCTAGTCAGCCATTGATTATTGACTGTGCAAATTTCGCCCACCAAAGCAAACGAACCACGACGCAGAGTTCGGCAAAAGCCAGAACGATCTTGTAACGGATTAGAGTGCAACTATGTGGTGACTATTTGACATGCTACACTTATTGCCGTGATATGTATCCAAAAATCAGCACTGCACCATTCATGTCCAGCTGTACAATCTGTTTCTCCGGTCGAACGTCGCTCACACTGAATTAATCGAGACATCTGGACAGCCAAAGCTAGCCCGTGCGTCCCGTTGACAGATTGCTGTGGTGGTTGTTGGGCTTAGGGGCTTGTCGTCCATCGATGTGCAGATTTCCCCAAAGATGGCAGATACGGTCCTTGAGCGCAGATTACTGTCCGGGCCGCGCTCAGTCCAGGCATGTGGCGCTCATATCTCACCATATTTGCCGAGGCGCGTAAACATGTGTCGCTAAACCACGATTGGACCATCAGCCGGTCCTGTCGTTCCGGGGAGCCGATAACGACGTCGGTATCGAGCGGTCCGGGGCCGGAGCCTCACGCGCGTTGTCGCGCGGGTCATGTATCGAGCCGGCGCCACTTTCAGTCGTAACGACGTTGGGCGCGTCAGTGAGCGCGCGCCGCGCCGGCCCCGCCGCCGTCCGCCGCCGCCGGCCATGCTGAGGTACAGCGTCATCGAGCGGCTGACGCAGACGTCCAGCGTCATCCAGCAGTACATGAAACGGCGCTCCGATGATGACGCCGGCGCGCGCAAGATTCGCCTGCTGAGCGTGCACGAGGTGGCCGACGTGCACAAGGAGCCGGGTGAGCCACGAGAGGTCCGCCTCCCTCCCCTTCCCCTCTTTGCCCCTCTCTAGCGACCTGACCGACCTGAGGTCGGTCGCCATCCACGCCCCAGTGACCCTAACCCCATTGCGGGCGCGGTCGGCGTGCGCTCGTCCCGCACGTCACGGCCGTGCCCGGGCTGCACGGCGCACAAGGCGTGGATGTTTGTCGTGGCGCCTGTGATTCATACCGTCATCGATGTCTGGCTGGTCCAAATTGCAGTGGAACCGTGCTGTGGACGCGGCCGGCGGCGGCTCGTGTTTGCTGTAGTCCACGGTGCTATCGGTGGCAATATCGCCGCCTCGGTCCGCGCCGGTGTCACAGCCCCGGCCGTCCGGCAGGCATCATCAGCGGCTACGTGCCGCACGGGTCGCCCTGGGTCTGCGTGCGCGGCCTCTTCCTGGCCACCAACGAGACCATCAACTTTTGGACGCACTTCCTGCCGTCGCTCTACTTCATCTGGAAGCTGGCTGAACTACGGCACTCGCTCGACTTCTCCGACTCGTACACCTGGCCCTACATCTGCTACATGCTGACCACCTGCGTGTACCCGTTCGTCTCGTGTGTGGCGCACGCCTTCAGCTCCATGTCCGTCAGGGCGGCCCACGTCGGCTTCTTCATCGACTACGCTGCCATCAGCATCTTCAGCTACGGTGTGGGCGTGTTGTACCGCAGCTACTGCTTTCCGAAGGACCTCCTGGGCACCGTCTATAGCGACTACTTCATCCACGTCTGCTTCGTCAACACGATCGTCTGCACGTTCCTGGCGTGTCGGTCGCGCTTCCTGCAGCGCAGCTTCTGGCAGAAGCGGACGCGGTTGCTGGCGTTCCTGGTGCCCTACGCCTGGGACAATGTGCCCCTGCTGTACCGGCTGCTGACCTGCGCCGAGACTCGGCCGTGGACGCCGTGTCGGCCTTCGGACGCGCTCCACCTGCGCCAGGTGGCCGCTTCCATGCTCGGCTCCTTCTTCTACGGCACGCACCTGCCGGAGCGCATGGCGCCCGGCACGTTCGACATCATCGGACACTCGCACAACTTCCTGCACATCCTCGGCATCGTGGCCACCAACGAGCAGATGAACGGCGCCCGGCTGGACATGGATGAGGCGCGCGCGCCGCACCACCCGGACGGCGTCGACCTCGACCTTTGGGCCACTTGGGGCGGCCTGCTGGCCGTCGCCATCAACATGCTGATTGTGGCCGTCTCCGTGGTGGCCATGAGCCGCAAGCTCGGCCGCGAGAAGAACTTCTGATAACGCCACCTGTTGACAAAACAGGATAATTCAGCTTGGGACCGTTTCCGACGTTAACGTCATCAATCTTGCGATGCTTTTGGATGAAATGTCTTTGGGTTGCCGAGTGGGTAAGTGATCATGAGCGCTGCATTTGAAATTATACCCTCACGTGTTCGTACAGCTCGGAGACGCGTGGCGTCGCATCGTCGTCGTGTCAACGTAAGTGCCTTAGCGTGCCGCTGCAGGGAATGGGTTCGTTTGACATCCGCAACGGTCAGTATCAGACCAGTTAGTTTGTGTGCAGCATGTTGTTCAGTCCTTACCGTACATAGGCCGTGCGATGAGTGACAGGTAGTCTGGTAACAGGGTAACGATTGATTTTTTAAGGAATTAATTTTTGAAACCCTTTTCAAATAATTTTGACTCCCTTTCATGTATTTGCATTTCTCTTCCACTTTGTGGTGACTGCTTTCTCCACAAACAGTGATGTGTTGGAGAGAATGTAGTTCATAGACCATCACATGCAACAAGCCGTGATATAATCTGAGTGATCAGGCAACTTATAGCTACCCATTGCGCAATATTGCATGACTAGAAGCAGATTAGAAGATTAGCAGTTGTTTGGTATCACATGATTGTAAGCAAGCTGATAATGTCTACGTATTTGACGATGGAGTGCTGGTGAAGAACACGTCGTTGGTGTTCGCAGTCACGGTAGTGCTACACGACGAAAGATTGTTTTTAGATGAACAGCCATCGCTGTTTCAACCAAGCCTTTGCCACGCTCTTACCGTTCTCGCATATCATTTTGTGTTGCCGCCTGTGGGTGCTACTGCCGTTTGTTTTTCCGCTGTGGGGCGCAGCTAGCCTGTGGCAGCCAGAAATCTTGAACGCAGCGTGAGCCTGCGTTCCTCCGAGCAGGGAATCGGTCGTTATCTCTACGTTACCGGGTGATATTGCGGCGGTGACCTTGGCCGAAGCGTGACGCGGTGGTGTGAGCGCGGGCGGGCGCCACGGGGTGACGGCGGTGCGGTGGCCCGCCCTGGGAGCGACTGGTGACGGCGGTGCGGTGGCCCGTTCAGATGGCGACTCTGGTGACGGCGGTGCGCTGGCCCGCTCTGATGGCGACTGGCGACGGCGGTCAGACGCAGCCAGCGCCTGACAGGCAGGTGGTTGGCCGTAATCCCTGTAAACGGCCGCCTCGTTCCATGTGGTGGTTTCAGGGCGCATCTTCGCTTGCTACCTGTCCGCTTGCTAGTCCTCCACAGCCCGTGAACTGCGCGGACCGATGTCCTTTGCAGCCCTGCTCTTCCCGCAACTCGGCACGCTGGCTGCTGCTTGCAAAAAACTGTGCTGTGATGTTATTCTTCTACGTGCTCTGCTGCTGGCTTGCGCATAGAAACCGGTAATGGCTATAGCTTGTTACAGTTCAGAAGTTTTGTACTGTAGAATAGGCCGTGTTATGTCGGGACGGGTAGATTAGATAAAGACGCGCCATGCGTTCACGGTGTCGCTGGAATCACATTGGGCGCGGAGTCGTCGCGAAACGGTCTGAGCGAGGGGTTGAAAGTTACTTGAAAATGTTTGCGGACGGTTGTCGACAAACCAGGACGCACTGTTCCTCTGCGTTTGTCTTCTGTGCTTTGCATGCGCGCGTCCTTTACACGTGCCCTTCAGAACGTGCGATGTGCGACTGTCCACGCTGTTGAGACGGCCTCGGCGCCGCCTCGACCTCGCTTGACCCGAATAATCCTCGTCGGCGACCGCTGAGCGCTCCGGCGTGGGGTGCGAGGCTGTGGCGAAACTCTGGCATGCCGCTTGTGTTGCATGTCGGATACTTCCCGCTCTCGTCTGGTTTCCCGCAGACCTCCGCCTTTTTCGAGCGCGCTGCCTGCACTGCGTCCTTGTCCTGTCACGTGGTCGAGTTTTGCACACTACCTCCGGACTCCGTCAAGCAGCAGCGATTGTTCGGCGCAGCACCGGGAACGGCAGGTTGCGCGCGACTGTTCCTGTCGGCGGGCTTGTACGGCGACTGCCGCGTTGCTGGCATACCTGTGATACTTTGGATAGTCGTTTTTAGCGCGGGTGCTCGAAGCCCCAGCGTGCTGTTGAGCTGCGGGGCTGCACGCGAGATAACTACGCATGGGACCGAAGCTTACTTTTAGCACTGTGCAAGCAATTGCACGAACGGCCAGGGTATCGAGTGTTCGCTTTTCGTGCGCCACGGTACTGTTCAGTGAAATAAACGCTGCATATTTCCCGCTATGTTCCTTCCTCGTCGCACTGGAGAACAGAGCAACGCAGCCGCGCATGAAAGCAGCGGCCGCCCGGCGCGCCGGGTCGGCTGTGACGCCGCGCCGCGCGCTGTCCCAGTTGCGCGGCGGCGACACGCGCAGCCCGCCCGACCGGCCCGTATCCACTTGACCTGTCCTGACCGGGTTGGGGCGCGGTGACGTGGGAGGCGGACCGGTGCGGTGGCGGCGGCCCGTGCCGCGCGCCCGGCCGTCGCTCGGTAACGGGGCCGGGTTGGCGAGGCGGCGCCGCCCGGCCCGCCCGGCTCGGCGGCTGTGGTGGCACGCGCCGCGGCTCTGCAGCACGTGCCCTCTCAGCGGGTGACGGCCCACTGGGCTGGCGTGCCAACACTTGCCCAGAGCGTTGGTGTGTACACGGACGCCGCCGGCTTCGGTCGACTTGGGTGCTCCATTGCCAATGTCGTCGTCCAGGGCCGACACGCTTCGTTAATTGCATCGCGCGGAGATGCGCCGACGCATAATGACCCGTGTTCAGAGGTGTTTTGATCTTATGTAGTGACGGACCAACGAAAGCATCAGGGCAGATCGATTGGAGGATTAGCACGACCGCGTCACGAATCCGGAACATAACTACAGATGCTTCGGGCCGTGCCGTCAGCGTCCGTTGAACCCGTGTTATCGCTGCCTCCATAACTCTTGTCTAGCACCGTTGCCGCCTTTTGTCGAACACCGTCACAACTGGTGAGCCGGCGGCCGCGGCAGCTGTCGTGGCCGTTCTGCAGCCCGTCGGCGGATCGTGCCTGCTCGGCTCGACGCCGTGGCAGTCCGCACTGCTGCCGAAGCTGGTCTCCTGGATCAGGGCTGATCCGGGCGTATCTGCCGGCCGTGCTGCTCTGCAGCGTTCTCTGTACACTGACACGGCAGCTGACCGCGGCCTGTGGATCAACCGATCCCGTGCGCGGCTGGTGGACACACCGCTCGCGTGTCGTGGTGGACTAACTAAGCAAACTGGCACTGCGCCGCTTTCAGTACGGGACGTTCATACCATTGTTTTGCAGGTAATTGGACGTAAAGTTGTTCTCGAATCTGAAAACCATACCAAACGATATCCGAAGCTATGGACAGTTACATTTCGTGCTGCATGTAATTGGTTATCGAGTAGCACGAAGACAGCGACGGTGTTTTGTTAGTACCTCGATCTTTCAGTCGACACGCCTCGACAATGCTAACTGATCAAATCGGTGAAGCCCAAATATTGACCAAACGCTTCGGTCTAATTGACATCAATTGTCGCCGCTGGAAAGGCGTGCCATTAGCCGCAATCATCGGCCCTTGTGTGTCCCACGACTAATCGTGCCTCATTGGTGCGCGCCGCCACCAGCAAAGGGCGTTTCACCGGCGGCTTTTACCGTCTGCGCTGGTAGAAATCGGCCGGCGCCAGTTTTTCGAGGCGCCGGCGTGCCCCGCGCGAATAGGCGACGGCACGCGGCGCGCGGCCGCGGCGGTCCCGTCTCCGCGGGGCGCGGGCGCGGGCATGCGGCGATATTGTTTAGAGAAATCGAAAGCCGACCTGGTGCGCTATGAATGCGCCGATCTGACGTCTGAACACTATCAGCTGGAGGGTGGCACCACCGAGGCCGCTCGTCATGCGGAACCACTGACTGAGCGCGCGCGGAATGGCTTCGATGGCTCAGGACTGAATACACCGCGTAGCTTTGTGGAGCGAGCCCGATATGCGGCGGACTGTGGGGAACCGCTGGCCCGCGGGAGGTCTTGTAGTGCGCCAGCACATGATGAAACTTCTACCGATCGTGGGATAGATTTTAATTGGATCGTCTGGCAAAGTCAGGTGCAAGAAGCTGGCGATCGAGCGCTACTTATTGGGTCTGACACTGTACGAACATGCTGTGTCACCGTTGAGGTGACCAACGAGAGCAGTGACGTTGACGTTGCAGCTCTAGGCACGAGGAAGTGATTAAGTCGAACGATAGATGAATGCTGAGTAGGAGGGAGCATCGAACATGTTGAATACTGCAAAGTAGCAATCGGAATAACGCGGGGGAGCAGAAAAACGACGTTTATTCCAGATGCTGACCATTACTAACGTCCAATTTGCATGCGACATCGCACGCTGCCGCCCCTCGATGCCCTTCCGACCTCCATTCTGCACAGCCGGGCGCGGTCCGTTTTCGTGAGCGACCGCTGGCGGGCGCCACCGGTCGCCGCCTGCCGCCTGTACCGCTATGGAAGCCATTGGTGCCCCGAGCGTGGCGCCGTGCGGACTAGCGGCAGCGGCCTGCGACCGTCCACCTCACGTGCGCCGGCGGCCGCCACCGAGGCGCCATGGCGCTCCGGCCCAACAAGCCGCGTGACGTGGAGAAGGCCTCCTACTATGTCTGGTTCCTGGGAGCGCTCGAGAGCCGGGGTCTGCGCGGCCGCGAGTTCGTGGCGCCCGTGGTCGACGAGCTGATGCGCAAGGAGCAGCACGTGGAGCCGACCAAGGTGACGCTGCAGGTCAGCGACAAGGGCCTCAAGATCGTGCAGCACGTGCCCAAGAAGAACGGCAAGGGCCGCACGGAGCCGGTGAAGCACTTCATCCCCGACCACGCCATTACGTACGCCGTGCAGGAGCCGGCGCCAGACCGCGACATCGTCAGCTGTATCCTGCTCATCTTCAACCCGGTGACCAAGTGTCCGGTGCACGTGCACACGTACCGCTGCGACTCGCCGGAGACGGCGGCGCTGCTGGCCGGCCAGCTGCAGACGCTGGCGGCGCGGCCCGACAACCGAGCGCACATCCAGGAGATCGAGGCGCGCCTGATGGAACGCGGCCTGTTGGCCGGCCCACCGCCACAGCAGCAGCAGCAGCAGCAGTCGCCCCCGCAGAAGCAACAGCACCACCAGCAGCCGCAGCAGCAGCAGCAGCCGGAGCAGCAGCAGCCGGCGCCGTCCATCGGCGGCTCGGGCTCGGCCAGCGCGCCGGTGGCCTCGCTGTACGACTCGCTGGCGGCCGAGCTCCGCACCAAGATCCACGGCCGCGACTCTGGCCCGCTGCTGCTGCCGCCGCGCGACTACGACACTGACCCAGCCCCGGTCGGCAAGACGCCTGTCCAGGAGGACTCCAGCGGCATCGGCTCCGACGACGCACCCAGCCCGGACCACCGCGACCGTGACCGTCCTCCTCAGGTGAGTCCCCAGGTCATAACAACACTTCCGCCCCGGCAAATTCCTCAAATAACCTGGTCGCTGCTCATCGAGTGAGCTCCCAGATCATCGGGGAACATCTGATCAGGCAAATCCTCAGATTGCCTGATTGTTTGCTCTCAGGGAGTCATCGGGCCTTTCGAACGCTCATCCCCAGGTGGGTCCTCGGATCAACCTCTGAAGGTGAGCAGCCAGATCATCTGGCCGCTGCTCATCAGGCGATCCTTGATCGCCTTACCGCTCCTCTCCAGGTGTTTCCTCGGATCACCTGATAGCAACCATCGGTCAGTCCACAGGCCACAGAGAACACCCCGGTACACCCCGGAGTACCCAGGTGACAGGTGCAACGCCTCTGGTGAGGCGTGAGGTCATCTGATAACGCTTCCCGCAACGAGCCGCCAAATGGGTCATTAGGATCGCCCTATCATACGATATTAGGCCCACCCCACCTCAAATCACCGTCCGGCGTTTTTGTGGTCGTGAGGCTGTCGAGTGCATCCCTTGCCTCCAGTCCCACCTTCTCATCGCCTGTTCCGGCATCTCTAGCTATTTAGGCGGTCCTCTCTCACCCGTGACATGCTAACGACTTTG